CTCATTTGAATCTGCCCGTGGCCCTCACTGTGCTGGGCCCCCCAGCAGGCCTCGAAAATGGCGGCAGTTTCGCAGATCGCAGCCCCCCAGGGATGGCGAGGTCTAATTTGAATCCGCGCGTGGCCCTCACTGTGCTTGGCCCCCCAGCAGGCCTCGAAATTGGCGACAGTTTCGCAGATCGCAGCCCCCCAGGGACGGCGAGGTCTAATTTGAATCTGCGCGTGGCCCTCACTGTGCTGGGCCCCCCAGCAGGCCTCGAAAATGGCGACAGTTTCACAGATCGCAGCCACCCAGGGATGGCGAGGTCTAATTTGAATCTGCGCGTCGCCCACACTGTGCTGGGCAGGCTCCGAAAATGGCGACAGTCTCACAGATCGCAGCCCCGCAGGGATGGCGAGGTCTAACTTGAATCTGCGCGTCGCCCTCACTGTGTTGAGCCCCCCAGCAGGCCTCGAAAATGGCGACAGTTTCACATATCGCAGCCCCCCCAGGGATGGCGAGGTCTAATTTGAATCTGCGCGTCGCCCACACTGTGCTGGGCCCCCCAGCAGGCCTCGAAAATGGCGGCAGTTTCACAGATCGCAGCCCCCCAGGGATGGCGAGGTCTAATTTGAATCCGCGCGTCGCCCTCACTGTGCTGGCCCCCCCAGCAGGCCTCGAAAATGGCGACAGTTTCACAGATCGCAGCCCCCCGCACACAAGACAGGAAGAGGCAGGGAGGGAGGAGGAGGAGGAAGGAAGGAGTGGAGACCACACTGCTCGATTCAAAACGAATACCCAACCAAGGAGGGTTGGGAACAACAAGAAACATACAAAATTCAAACATCAACGAACATCAACAATAATGCACCGAAAAACAAAAGGTTTCAGACGTCAAGCGTCAACAAAATCCACAAAAATCCAGCCGTCGACATGCGATGATGATCATGATGATGATCATGATGATGATGATGCTGATGATGATGATGATGATGATGCTGATGATGAGGAGGAGGAGGATGATGATCATGATGATGATGATGATGATGATGATGACTATGAGGAGGATGAGGAGGACGAGGAAGAGGAGGAGGCAAAAGGAAGAAGAGGAGGAGGGAGAGGGGCGGGAATAAATGGAGGCGAAAGGGAGGGCGATGGCTCCGGGAGTTGGGCGGCCAAAGGAGGGAAGGGGGGGGGCTTCAAGCCCCCCCCCCCTTTTGCACCAAGGGAGGGAGAGGGGGGGAGTTTCCAAAGCCCCCCCCCCTTTCAAAGGGGGGGGGTGGCTCACCCCAGCTCTCACCCCGGCTCAATTAAAGGGAGGGAGGGGGGGGGTGGCTTGGAAGCCCCCCCTCCCCCCCTTTCCGGACCACGAAAAGAGGGGGAGGGGGGGGGGCTTCCGAAGCCCCCCCCCCTTTAGCAAGGAAGGGGGGAGGGGGGTAGCTTCAAGCTGGGGCCCCCCTTCTAGTCTCTCGGGCCCCACGAGCGCGGTCTATCTTATCTTGGCTCCCAGACCTCCAAATTTACAATTTGTTTTCTCAGACGGTTTCGGGGGAGGCACGTGTCACCAGTTGTTTTTGTGAGGCTGAATGGTTTTATTTCGGCCCTCAGAATCCGACGGTTACAATTGTTTTTTCTCACGCGGTTTCGGGGTGACACGTGTCACCCGTTGCTTTGACGAGGCTGAATGGCTTTATGCTGGCTCCCCGAATCCCCACCTCAAAATCCGTTTTTCTCACGCGGTGTCGGGGGTGACACGTGATACGCGCTGTTTTTTTGCGCGGCTGGACGGCCTTCTGCTTGTTTCCAGAATTCCAAATTTACAAGTCGTTTTTTTCATTTCGGGGGTGACTCGTGTCACCGATTGTTTTTTTGTGAGGCTGAATCGCCTTATGTTGGCTCCCAGAATCTCGAATTTACTATTGTGTTTTCTCCGCGGTTTCGGGGGTGACACGTGTCACCCGTTTCTTGTTTGTTTGTCTCCTTCTTCCTAACCCGATTACTGTCTCCCTCAAAAATTTCATCATCGCGGGATCACGACCAGAGCCCTACAGAGTCGGAAAGATGTGTCTCCTTATTCCACGCCAAGTCCCCAAGAACAACGGAAAGACAAACGAGACCTTCCGTGCCCAGCTCCGTCCGCCTCAGCGGACATGCGGTCCGAACGGCCCCTCCCCCATTCAATGTTTAACGGGCTTGCGCCAGGGGGGGGGCTGGGGTGATCCACTCCTCTAACTTGAACTTATTCAAGAGAGGTGTTGGAGCCTGGTTTGGGCGATTCTGCTTGGGACGTTTTCGGGATCTGCCTGGTTTGGGCCCTGGTTTGGCCTGGTTTGGCCTGGTTTGGCTTGCTTAGCGGCGCAAGCCGCACCGCCTGAGACATCCTCCGAGTTTGCTTGGTTTGGCCCCTGGTTTGGCCTGGGTTGGGCCTGGTTTCGCCTGAGACGTCGTCGCTTTTCCCTGGTTTGGCTTGGTTTGGGCTTAGTTTCGCTTGAGACGTCCTCGCAATTTGCCGGGGTTTCGCTTGGTTTCGGCTCGGTATCGCCTGAGACGTCGTCGCAAGGTGCTTGGTTTCGGCGCGGTTTCGCCTGATTTGGGATTTGTTTTGCCTGAGACCTCCTCGCAATTTGCTTTGTTTCGCCTGGTTTCGGCGCGGTTTCGCCTGAGACGTCCTCGCAATTGGCCTGAAGCTTTGGTTTCGCTTTGTTTGAGCCCAGTTTTGCCTGAGAGCGCACGTCAACGTCGTCGTCGTCGTCATCGTCATCGTCTTCGTTGTCGTCGTGGTTCGTCAAATTCATCGTCGTCGTCGTCGTGGTGGTCGTCGTCGGCGTCGTCGTCGTGAAGGGGCCCGGACACTCAGAGACGCGTTGTATTTTGTCACGTGGTGCAGGGAAGTGAACGAATCATTTCTATTCACGTGGTGGGCGTAAATATTCGGAACGACACATTTTGGCCCACATTCTGCACTGTTGTGCTGCACTATAACAGGGGCAGTGTGTGTGTGTGGACATCCGAAGCGAAGTGTGTTCGGCCACTGTACCACGTAGTGCAACCATCGCTTACACAAATCCTCCTGTTATGCGGCATCGGACCATGTGGTGGCGTTAGGAGAAAGTCTGTCCCAGCCTGTAGACTGTTGATGTTTCGAGCCGGATCGATATGTGAGGGATCCCGGGCCTGGAATCGGACGAAGACGCCCGGCTCGAAGACGCCAAGATCTCGGGGAGACGCATGGCCTCTGGCTCTGGCCTTCGGGCCGCCCCGAGAGGAACGCCTGATGGAGGAGATCCAGTCCGCCAGGACGGCCTTCCGCAGGGAGCTGCAGGTCAGGGGCAACGTTCGAGTACGGGATCGACTACAGAATCTATTCACCCCGAAGTTGATTTTCTCGTCGGATGTTCTGGACTGTTCCGCAGATTTGCGGAACGTTCTGCGTGTGTTTTGCCGTAGTTTCGGCGAACAAAACAATATTGGGGTAAATCAGTTCTGTAGTCGATCCCCTACTCGAAACGTTAGGCAGGGATGTGCTCAGGGGTGTGTGCATTGTCCCCGAATCGCCCATTCATCTGATAGCCTGCCCCGCCCAGGCGCGTCCGGATTTGCTATCGGGGGCCCATCGCTGACCCATCGGCGATGTATCGCCGATTCCAGCTCGATGTTCCCTCCTCTGAGCCGGTCCCCTGATGGTTTTCGGGCTATACCTCGGGCCTCCAGCGACCGTTCGGGACGGTCTGGGCAGCTCCAGAACGCTTTCGTCGAGGCGCTGCCGTTAGAAGGCATCCCGAGGCCGGAGAGCCGCCGAGAACCGACGAAGGCGTTTGGAAACCTGAAACGTGAGGCCTCGAAGCCTCAACGTGCGCTCCGCCCACTGCCTGCCTGCCAGCCTGGCGGTGTCCAGCAGCTGGCCCTTCCGAGCATCGTTGAACCGATCCCTATCCCCTCTGACGTGGCCTGGGCTCAACTGGCCGATTTACCCCCCTTCTGTAGATGGGGATCTGTAAGCTGTGTCCTCCGGGTTTCGAGAGGCCTATCCTCAACTGGAGTGGTTGGGCGGTGGGATGGGCGGGCATTACGCGTATTCATCGGGGAGCCTCGCCAAAGACACTAATCATCGGCGCCCCTGAATACATTTATTGCTCCCCCCTGGGACCGATCTTCCACCACTACCACAGGTAGGCGAGGGTCTCCCTGCTCCCCCCGTCCTGCCTGCGGTAGTGGTGGCGGTAAATTGGCCCATCAGTCGACACCCCCGAACGTCCCCCCCCTGACGGTGCCCCTCAGCAGTCGAGTAGGGGATCGACTACAGAACTGGTTTACCCTAAGATTGATGTGCTCGTCGAATTTACGATAAAGAAACCACTCAGACTGTTCCGTAGATCCGACGAACATTCTACGCAGCCGCATGTGTTCGTAAATCCGACGGGATGATCAACCTCGCGGTAAATCGATTCTGTTATGGATCCCCTGCTCGAAACAGAGCCCCCCTGACGCTGCCCCTCAGCAGGCCGAGGCCGACGCCCTCCGGGGCCTCTGTGGGGGCGCGGCGGCGGCGGCGCGGGCGGAGGGCCGGGGCGCGGCCGAGGCGGTGCGGGCGCAGCTGGAGGCGGAGCTGCAGCTCCTGCGCGCCGCGCAGGCGAGGCACGTGCGGGAGGCTCCGAGGGGCAGAGAAGCGGCACGAGCATCCCTCCTTCGCCTCCTCCTCCTCCTCCTCCTCCTCGTCCTCCTCGTCCTCGGGCACGGGCGGGAGGCTCCGAGGGAGAGAGGCTCGGCATCGCTTCACCGACCCCTGTCTCGGAGGAAGGGGTATCCGTACCTCTGCCCTTCCCGCGTGTTTCCCGTTTGGGGCTTCCTGGGAGGGCCTCGTCGCTAACGCTGGATTCGCCTCGAAATCCTGTCCAGAGCGCACACCAGGAGAGGTCCGAGGGAGGCCCCGAGGGAGAACGACATGTCGGCGGCGCCCCGAGGGGTTCAAGGCGAGGATTTGCGCGGACACAGCCTGGGGGATCGATTTTCGCGGACCTCCACGGGTGGCGGGTATGGATATACTCGGCCCCCCTTGGATATACTCGGCCCCCCCTAGGGCAGGACGTCAGTTCCCAGGCGATGGAAATGGAAATGGACGTGAAAGACCCCGCATCGTCTAGCCGACCGCTATCCCCATCCCTATCCCCATTCAGACCCCCGTCATCTCAGCAACCTGGTTGGGGATATGCCAATCGAAACCCGGAGGGAACGGCCTATATCCCCATCTAGGGGGGTAAATCGGCCAGTGGGGCCCATCGGCCACGCCCATGGGGATAGGGGTCGGTTAGACGATGCTTAGAGACATAACGGCGGCGAGCCGAGGGGGGGAAGTGAGAAGGAACAAGCCAGAAGCCCTCTAGGCTTCTGAGAAGCTTCCTTTTTGTGGAGGAATACATAAGGATTCCTCTTGTTGGGGAATACAAGAGGATTTCTTGTGTAGCGGCCCCCCCACCCCCCACGTCCCAAGGACGACCCCCCACTCCTCAACGAATGCGAATAGCTTCGTTGTAGGGCACTCTGTTTTTTTGTCTCCTGGGATGGCTTCGAAATCTTCCCTCGGCGGCGAGCGAGGGGGGCGCCAGGAAGAGGAGGCCTTCTCACGAGGCGGCAGGGCTTCTCAGAAGCCATCTGGCCTTCCGAGAGGTGTTCCGTGTCTCCTGGGAAGGCTTCGAAGACTTCTCAGGAGGCTCGAGGCCTTCCGAGCCTTTTGAGAAGGCCCGCCCCTCATCACTTCCCCCCTGGGCTCGCCGTCAAATTGGGGCAGCGTGAGAGTTAGGTTCGAGGTTCGAGGTTTGAGGTTTTCGGGCGTTTTCGCTGGTTCAATTCGAGCTTGCCATTTTTCTTTGTAAGCGGGCCAGGGAATGTGTTAACCTTGCTTGGCTGCTTGTCGCTTTCGTGTAAGAAAAGAAGATGGCGTCTTCGTTGGCTCTCTGTGGTTTTCCACCGTCGGGATGCTCCTGCGTGCCTTGCAGGCGAGGCTCGGGCGGGAAGCACGGAGTGAGGGCTTTTCGTTTTCAAAGTGTGGTTCTCGTCGTAGTGCCGCGCGCATTCGTTTCAGACATGTGCAAGAGTTTCACGGAGTGGGGGCGTTTCGCTTTCAAACTGTAGCTCTCGTTTAAGCGCCGCGCGCATTCGTTTTAGACAATTGCATGAGCGTCACGGATTGAGGGCGGCTCGTTTTCCAAATGTGGTTCTCGCCTTAGCGCCGCGCATTTTGAAACATTCACAAGAGTTTCATTGGGTCCCATTGTCAACGTACCAGAGAAGGTATTTTGGAAGGGTTCGGGATTGTGAGGGTGCAACACTTACGTGGTTCCGCGGTGTTGAAGTCCCAGGAATGGCGCTCTGGTGCGATTCAGGATCGTCAAGACGCAACTGTCAGGTTGATCCGTGGCGTTGGAGTGCCGGTGATGGTGCTTTGGCATGTTTCATGGTCTTCAAATGGTTGTCTCCCAACGAGGCATTTCCCTCAGCGGAAATGAACCTTTGTAGGGGCACATGGGAAGGAAGCTCGGAGGGAGTCTTGGGATTACATTGGTCCTCCCCCTCCTCCTCCTCCTCCTCCTTCTCCTCCTCTTCCTCTTCCTACTCCTACTCCCACTCCTGCTCCTCCTCCTCCTCCTCCTCTTCCCCCCCCCCCCCTCGGCCTCGGCATCGTCCTCTTCATCCTCCTCCTCCTCCTCCTCTCCTCCTCCCTCTCCTCCTCCGCCTCCTCCTCCTCCTCCTCCTCCTCCTCCTCCCCCTCTCCTCCTCTTCCTCCTCCTCCTCCTCCACCTCCTCCTCCTCCTCCTCCTCCTCCCCCTCTCTCCTCCCCATCATCCTCCTTCCCTCCTCCTCCTCCTCCTCCTCCTCTTTCTCCTCCTCCCTCTTTCCCCCCTCCTCCTCTCCTCCTCCCTCCTCCTCCTCTTCCTCCTCCTACGCTGTTTCCTCCTCCACTTCCTCCCTTCTCCTCCCTCCTCCTCCTTCTCCCCCTCCTCCTCCTTCTCCTCCTCCTCCTCCTCCTCCTCCTTCTCCTCCTCCTCCTTCTCCTATTCCTCCTCCTCCTCGCTGTTCCTCCACTTCTTCCCTTCTCCTCCCTCCTCTTCCTCCTTGGATTGGGGGGGGCCATCTCAGGTTCGATGTTTGAGGTATTCGGGCGCTTTCGTTGGTTTTCCAGCCTCGGGATGCTCTCCAGCAGCTGCGCCTCCAGAAAGGCCCCCCGGATCGTCCCGAAAGGCCTCCAGAGAGCCGGGCTATGACCCGCGGGACCCGAGAACCAAGGGGCCAACGTTAGGGAGGGACGGTGGAATGCATCGACCCTAGATCGCCCATGGACCGCTGATGAGGGCCCGAAGCCCACCCCGTCTAGGTCTGTGAGGGTTTTCGCAATGGGGGCCTGCCGCCGATCTATCGGCGATAAACCGCCGATTCCAGCTCGATGTTTTCCACCTGAGCTGGTCCCCCCCTAGCGTTCCCCCTCCAGACACGGCACGAGCGTCGGAGTCACCCCGAGAAGGGGCGCGAAGATCACCGCGTTTCGCGCGTCGCGGCCAGGGCCGCTGAGCTGGCCTTCTCCAGGGGGCGGCGCGAGGGCGCAAAGGTAGCCGCGCGTCGCGCACCGTGGGGCGCAGTGTGCGAAGTCAGGCGGCCCAGGGGCAGCAAGCCTTCGAAGGCCCGCGCGGACGACTTCTCGGATCGCGCGCCGGTTCCCACGTGGCAGCGCCGCCGCCGGGGTGGGCGTGACACCGCGCCGACCTTCGATTGGTTTCAGCTCTTTCTCGTTTTGAAAAAGAGCGCTGGGGTTCGCGACCTCCTCCTCCTCCTTCTCCTCCTCCTCCTCCTCCTCCTCCTCCTCCTCCCGCCTACCTTGTCCTCTCTTCCCTCTTTCTCTCCTCTCCGGCCTCTTACCTGGCTCGTTCCTGCCCGCCAGCCTGCCTCCTACCTCGCCGTCCTAACTGGGGCTAACCGCTAGCCGTCGGTACAGGGCTGCAAACTGCGAAGCTGCCGCCACTTTCGAGGGCTCTGGGGGGGTCCAGCTGAATGACGTTCTATCCAGACCACAGCGTGACCTCGCCGTCCGTGGGAGGCTGCGAACTGCGGCCTTGTCGCCACTTTCGTGGGCTGCTGGTTGGGCCAGCGTAGTAACGTCCTACGCAGATTTGAGCTTGACCTCGCCGTCCTTCGAGGGCTGCGAACTGCTCATCCAGCAGGGCGCCAAGACGACATGGCGCGGGCTGCGCTGCTTGATTATCAGCGTGCCACTGGGAAAGTCGCCGCCCTCCTCCCTCATCCCGCCTCTTTCGTCGTCGTCCTCTTCACCCTTCCCCCATCTTCCTGCTGCTGCTGCGCTGACTTTCCGGCCCTCTCTTCCTCCTCGTCCATGGGGCTTCAAATCGCCTTCTTGTGAGTCGTGCAACGTGCGCGCCTCCTGTGTATCTTGCACAGCACGTGGCGGTTCCTGCCTTTTCAGCATCTGTAGTAACGTTGGTCAGCTGCACGTCGGTCGTTGAAAGATCGAGTTCCTTTCCTTTCTTCCCCCTCTCCAGTGGGAGGGCGGAAGCCCAAGCATTGCTACTTCATATTTCTACCCACTACTTCCGACCGAAGGGTACCCTGGTCGCCTGATGAAGATGCGTTGGGCACGTCGCGGGGTAGTGAACATCCGGTCCATTTTCCAACTTCCAGAATGTCTTCGCCAGCCGACAGCTGCGCAATCCGCGCGGACCCCCGAGGCGCTCCGTTCGTGTAGTTGAGAACTACTGCGAAGGCCTTACGGCTAGTGTTGGTGTCCTTGAAGGGGACGACGACGACGACCACCACCATCACGACGACCACCACGACGACCACGACTACTCTGAAGGGGACGACGACGACGACGCCAACGCCGGCGCCGACGCCAACGCCGACGCCAACGCCGACGAGGCCGACGACGCCGACGACAACGACAACGACGCCAACGCCGACGCCGACGCCGACGCCGACGCCGAAGACGACCTCGACGGCCCATGGCGGTCGGGCCGCAGCTTGTCACTGTGCCGCTTCTTGCGGCCCTCTGGAGGTCGAGGCGCTGCGAGAGCGGTGCGGGAGTTCCGAGGCCGCCAGTGCGCAGGTCGCGGGGGACGTGGCCTCCCTGAAGGGCCAGCTGCTAGACACCGCCAGGCTGGCCGGCAGGCAGTGGGCGGAGCGCGCGCTAACATTGATTAGGGATCCGTGGATCTGGCGCGTGGATGCCGGAATCCGTGGATCGTGGAAGAGATACCCCCGAGACATGACGCCAGTGCCGTCTTACTTGGCGAAGGAGGGCGCCGATTATGCACGGAAGCGGGACCCGTCGCTAATCCAGGCGTGCGCTTCCTGGACAGTGGGCGGAGCACACGTTGAGGTCTCGAGGTTTGACGTTTGAGGTTTTCGGGTGCTTTCGTCGGGTCTCGGCAGCTCTCCAGCTTCGGGATGCCTTCCAGCGGCTGCGCCCTGCCGAGAGCGTGTTGGGGCTGCCTGGATCGTCCCGAGCGGCTGCTGGAGGCCCGAGTTATGACCCGAAAGCCAGGGACCGGGTCAGAGAGGGAATCATCGAGGTTGTTCGTGGCCGAAATCCGCCGTGGCCAGCAGAGCACCTTCGTTCCTCATTCTGGCTCCCCCATGGCAGCACGACGACTGTCAGAAGGCGGTGGGGCCTCTCAGAAGGCTGCTGGCCATCTCGGATAGGGCCCATCAGCCTGCAAGGATGCATACTGGAAGCAGGGAGGGCTCCCAAGAGGCCCCGCCGCCTTGCCCGAGATCCGACATTGCGAAGAAGTAGAGGCATCGCGAACATCACGACCAGACCCCGAGAATCTCCCTGCGGCATTTTCTGAGCCGGATCGATCCATGATGGTCCCGGGGCTCGAAGCCTTGCAAACACGCCCAGTGCGAAGACAGTGCAACGCTCCGAGGCCGCCACCCCCCCTCGCACCACGCCCCCTGTGTGCGCACCACCGAGAGTCGGCGGCGAGCGAGGGGGGGGAAGCGAGAAGGGGGCGGGCATTCTCGCTGTCTAGCCGCCTAGAGAGGCAGTGGGCCGAGCTGGGCGCGGAGCTCCGGGCGCTGGAGCACGCGGCGAGCGCGGAGCTGCAGGCGCGGGCCGCGCGTGATAGAAGAGCGGTCCTTCGCCGGAGGGCTTCGGGGGGAACGCTACCCCTTGCACGCGGATCGCGCGTCGCCCCGCTCTGCGGGGCGCCAGGCTGGGAAAGGCTCGGGACGTTGCCGCTCGGCCACGAGGGCGTGGCCAGCGTGTCGCGCCGAAGCGTGGTGGGCGGGAACTGGCCGCGCGACGCGCTCTGCCGAAGTTCCCGACCGTTCCAGCAGCACGACGCTGACGGGTTCCCCACGGCTGCGTGCCACTGGCACCGTCGGGTGCAGGCCTTGCAGCCGGTCGATCCACGGCGCACCGCCGATTCCAGCTCCATCTTTGTTCCCCCTCAGCCGGTCCCCCCCCCCCGTGCTCGAAGCCCCTCACCGGTGCGCGGCCTTCCAGGGTTGGCACGCCAGCCGCTGCTGGCGCACCGCATGTGCAGCGGTGGGCAAGCCGCGCGCCAGGCCCAGACCTCCGTCGGACGCCGTGTTGTTCCTCGGCGTCGCTCGGACGTGTGCACTGCTCCTCGGCGAGGACCATCGAGGAGCCATGTGGGTCATCTTGAGAGCGGTGAGCAATTGCACGCACGAAGCCGAAAAATGTGCACGGGGAGTGGGCGTCCGAGCGATGGCGAGCTGTTGTGTTGCACAACGCGCCGGCCCCTGGAGGTCTGGGTCTCTTCCCCGGGGCCGGATTCCCTTCGCGGGCTGTTTTTGTTCCTCGCGGGCCTGATAGGCCTCGGAGGCCTAAAATGGGCAGAGACTTTGCCTCGCGATTTTTGCAGCAACGGGAAGTGGTTTGGTTCTCGGATCATAACTCGCGCTGCTTGCGTCCGTTCGGAACGGACTCGGGCACTCCAGGAGCACCCTCGGCGACGCGCAGCCGCTGGAAAGCACCCCAGGGCCCGAAGGCCTCCAAGAACCAACAAAAACATAGGACCACCGGCGGCGACGACGACGATGACGGCGACGACGATTGCCCAGAATCGTGTGCTGCTTGCTGCCGACAGGCGCTGCGCTCCGAGGTCTGCGCCGCGGGGGCGGGCAGCAGGCCGCCGCCTGGCGAGGGCGGGCTCGCTGGCGGGCCCGGCCCGGCGCCCGCGGGGTATGCCCGTGCAGCGGAGGATCGGTGCGGTCGAGATTCGGCTACACGCAAGGTAAGAGTGACTCTTCGCCCGAGTGTCCTTGGTGCGGGCTCACAGGGTTCCCCCGGCACTGTCACGCTCGCTTAGCTCCGCCCTTCCGCGGCATCCCGGAGCCACGCACAAGCCCGTGCAGCGGAGGATCGGTGCGGTCGAGATGAGTTCGGGGGCGGCCAAGAGGGAGGTGATGACTCGGTGTGTGTGGGTGTGTGGACATCATTGTCGGGGCCATGATATATCCCCAGATCTCGTGGCCCCTTCTTCTTCTTCTTCTCCTTCTTCTTCTTCTTCTTACTTTTCTTCTTCTTCTTCTTCTTCTTCTTTCACTGCGCCCCCTGGCCCCCCCTCTCGTCCGCGCACATGCCTCGGGCCATGATTTTCGAACCCCCTTCCAGGACACCCTCCTCTTGGACGACCCCGACGAGCACGGAAGTCTAAAGTCAAGGCGCTGAAATAAGGACCGCTTGGGGCTCAGGAGGGGTTCTTGGCTTCAGGTCGTTCCTCAGATCTATGTCGTGGAGCTTGTTTGTGGCCTAGGCCCGCCGCGACCAGAAATCCCCTTCGTTCCTGATTATGTGTTCCTTATGACAGCACGATGACTGTAGGCCTCCCAGGTGTGATCGGAGTAAATGGGGTCGGAGGATCGGCCGCATCGCCGACGCATCGGCGATGCGGCTCGATGTGGAGCCGGATTTTCTCCATTCTGGCGTCGCCTCTCATCGCCGACGTCGCCTATGTATCGTCCATGTATCTCTGATGCATAGACGATGCGGCGCGATCCTCCGACCCCTATCTACTCTGACCCCATGTGGGAGGCCTCTGGATGAGCACGGAAGAGTCAGGGGCAACGCTCGGGAGGGGTGGTGGGGACGGGCTCAGGGGCTCAGGGGGGGATGATGCATCGACCCTCAGGTTCGAGGTTTGAGGTTGTTGGGCGTCGTCGTCGGTTCTCTGCTGCTTTCCAGCCTCGGGATGCTCTCCAGCAGCTGCGCCGCGCCGCGGGCGTGTTGGGGATGCGTCGGCCAGGCAGCCCGCCCCGCCCGGGACCGCGCGGGTGTCGCAATCGGGGGCCTGCCGCCGGTCTGCCGACGATGTGCCGCCGATTCCAGCTCGATGCTTCTTCCCCTGAGCCCGTCCCCCCTGCAGCTGCACCTCAAAGAGTGGGGGCGGGGACGAGCGGCCGTGGCTGCCCATGCTGAGCAGGGCTCGCTGTCGGTGTGGCCGCAGGCCCTGTCCATCTGGGACGAGGCGTCGCCGCGTCGCCTGCTCAGCCGTGGCCGCTGCTGGTCTTGGATAACCTTTTGTTGCCCAGCACCGTCCCTCGGCAGGGAGGGGGAGTACCGATGACACGCTGCTGCTGGGAGCCTGTCAGCGTGTCGCTTCTTCGTTCTTGCCCTAGTGCCGCCGTGATTTTCTGCTGAGCGTGGCGCGGCTGCGGCCCAGGCGACACGATGCCTTGCACGCGGATCGCGCGTCGCCCCGCTCTGCGGGGCGCCAGGCTGGGAAAGGCTCGGGACGTTGCCGCTCGGCCACGAGGGCGTGGCCAGCGTGTCGCGCCGAAGCGTGGTGGGCGGGAACTGGCCGCGCGACGCGCTCTGCCGAAGTTCCCGACCGTTCCAGCAGTACGACGCTGACGGGTTCCCCACGGCTGCGTGCCACTGGTACATACTTTGCGCCCCAGCCTTGCTCAGGAGGAGAGGCTGCACGAGGACGCGGAGGCCCTCGAGGGCCAGCTGCGGAGGATAAAGACCAGGGTGGATGCCCTGCAGGCCCGCGCGCTCGTCGTCGTCGCTGGCGTCGCCAGCGCTATCGCCGTCGCCGTCGTCGTCGTCGTCGTCGTCGTCGTCGTCGTAATCGTCGTCGTCGTCGTCGTTGTCATCGTCGTCGGCACGGGGACCACGTTATGGGGGCACGATATTCTCGGAACCAAGGCGGATGCTTTTCGGCAGCTGCTTGTCGCCGAGGGCGTTGGGGAGTTGCCTGGATCGTCCCGAGCGGCCGCCAGATACCCGAGCTATGACCCGGAAACCAACCCGCTGTGGCAAGAGTCACGACGGAAGGTTTCTGTTAGTTTTCCGCCTCCAGGGGCCCGAGGAGACCGTCAAAAAACGACCCATAGAAGAATTCGGATCGGGTGCGTCGAAGGTAACACAAGCTTTGTTTCGCGATGCGACGGGGCGGGGGCCATCCGTGAGCCTGTGCTTCACTTGCCATGCCGCTCGTGACCATTCGTGGTCGAACGCCAGACGGGCAACTCTCGAGGCATCGCCTGTCAGGCAGCTCAAAAGCTGGTCCTGGGGGAAAAGGTCTGGTCCTCTGGGGGTCCACGTCGTGATAAAGGTCGTCCTCGTCGTCGTCGTCGTCTTCGTCGTCGCCGTCGTCGTCGTCGTCGTCGTCCTGGGCAAAGGTCCGGTCCTCTGGGGGTCCGCGTTGTGCCAAAGAGCGCGACGCCACAGGTCTGGGAGGGACCTCGCCTACGGCGCACCATGGCCTTCGGAAGGCAGGGCCGGCGGAAGTGCAACGGGAGCCGGCGGAAGGCCGGCGGATGGCAGCGGTGCGTTTTTTTGATCCATGATTTGCGGAGTCGGCCACACGTTCGATTGTGCCAACATTCGCGCGTCAGTTTCCCGCGTCGGGTCGCGTGTAAGCGCCCTCTTCTCCACGCGGTGTGCCACGCTGATGTAAGGTCGCTGTGCCTTTCCGCGTAAACCGCTGTGTAAGGTCGCTATGTCTTCTCGGGTAAGACCCACCGTCAGGCCCGCTTTTGGCCCAGATCATGGTGCACACGGATTCCTGGCCCAGCCAGGGCACCGAGACACGGATCTGAGCATGGGCCTTAGGCCCTATGCAGGCCCAGCGGCGATGGCACATACGATCCCGGGCGCCAGGACCACGCCCCCCACCGCTTGGCCGATGCTGTGCACCGAGGCATGGGTCTCAGCATGGGCCCTGTGCAGGCCTGGCGGTGGTGGCACATACGATCCTGGGCTCTGGGCTCACGCCCCCCCCCCTCCCAGATGGGATGGGTCCCAGGGTCCCTCTTCTCCCCTCTCGCCCAGATTGGATTGGTAGGGGACGACGACGACGACGACCACGACGACGACGGCGACGACGACGACGGCGACGGCGACGGCGACGGCGGCGACGGCGACGGCGACGGCGACGGCGACGGCGACGGAGACTGATTGTAACGACGACGGTGACGACGACGACGGCGACAACCCCATCGATCATCGATGCATCGATTCTCCTGCATCGACGGGTGTCCACTATGCCACGCCCACGGGGTGGGGGGGACCCATCGTGGGGTGGGGGGGTCTCGAAGGCATCGGAACGGCGGGCGGGGGCGGGGGGGGGGCCAGATCCTTCCTCTGCCTGCGCAGGGGCAGCAGGGCTCCTTCATGTCCCAGTACAGCCGCGACGCCGAGCGCCTCCGGGGGCTGGTCGAGAGGATGGTGGACCAGCTCGGGAGGGACTTGGACCGGCTGGCCGCAGACGTGGAGGACAAGCTGGCCCTCGCGGAGGAGAGGATCGCCCAGCTCGAGCAGACGCGCTGAGGAGGCGGGAGGAGGGGGGGGGCAGTGCCGCGAGGGCGCGCGCGGGGACCGCACCGCGGCCGCTTCGCGTTCGAGAGCGCAGACAGAGGCCCTCCAAAACGGCAGCAGCGCGGCCTCGTGGTGCCGAAACGTGAGTCGGCGTACCGGCTCGAAAGGGGTGGCGCGCATCCAGGAAAACAGATGGGTTGGCCTTTCCGGCTGTACCACAAACGGTTGATCGTCGTGGCCGTTACATTAAAAAGAAACGAATAAAGAAAAAACAACACATATATATATATATACATATTTATATCTATATATATATATATACACATGTACATCTACATATAAACTATGAAGCACTATACACATATATATATTAAATATTAAATATTACATCTAGATATAATAAATGTTTTTTGTATATGCACATTTTTTAAACATGATGTATACAATATGTGGAATTATGGTTCCGTGTGCATCTGGTTACATGTAATCTATGATATTATATGCGTTTAGAGTTAAGCATGATAAACGACAAAATGAATATACTATGAACTGTTCTGTGCATTATAACGAACTACCAGTTTCACATTATATACGCAATCTGACACGCGTACCGTGCACGCACATCCTACACGTACTACTCGACCATCCTTGGCAGCACACGCAATTGATGCAGTATTCATACGCACACACATATGAACGAGTGATTGTCTAAACCAGCTAAACATATAGCTTAGGGTTCAGGGCTTAGGGTTCGGGGCTTGGTCTGAGGGCTAAGGCTAGGGCTGAGGGCGCATTCCCAACGCGTTTCCTGACCCCAGAAGGAGTTCCACCGTCTGGGCCGTCTTGGGGGAGTCTTGGGTAGCCTGGGAGAGGACACGAATCTTATGCAGTGGCGAAATCCTATGCCCACGCGTCGATCGTAACACAGAGGCTTTACAATAGATCGTGAGAACGCAGTGTGGTCGCCAAAGCTGCCGAGGCTCTTATTATTTTCATGCAGCCCTTTCGTTCGTGGAATGGTAGGGTGAAGAGAGAGCCACTGGAAACCAGGGAAAAGCTCTCGCCACCAGATAACAAGAACACCGGGGGCGGGTCGACGACGACGGCGACGGCGACGGCGACGGCGACGGCGACGGCGACGGCGACGGCGACGGCGACGGCGGCGACGGCGACGGCGACGGCGACGGCGACGGTGACGGCGGCAGGGACGGCGAAGGCGACGGCGACGGCGACGGCGACGGCGACGACGACGACGACGACGACAACGGCGATGGCGACGGCGACGGCGACGGCGACGGCGACGGCGACGACGACGACGACGGCGACGGCGACGGCGACGGCGACGGCGACGACGACGACGACGACGTCGAGAGCCGACTACTCCGATGGCGACGGCGACGGCGACGGCGACGGCGACGACGGCGACGACGACGACGACGACGACGTCGAGAGCGTGGCCCGCCCCAGGTGTTCTTGTTGCATAGAGCCACCCAGGTGTTCTTGTTGTATAGAGCCACTTTGGCTCAGATGGATTCAAGGCGGGCGGGCCCTGCTTGGCCCAGTATGGGCCATGGATTCGGCCACTCTGTACATGGGGCTGCGCAGGTTGCCTCGCGCTGAAGCGCGGGGCGACGACGGAGAGCCAGGCGGCGAAGAAGAGCCCGGAGACTGTGCAGGAGGGCCAGGAGACGTGCCACTTGGAGATTTGCTCGCCGCTGCGAATCCTGGGGGTCTGCTCGGGAAGCGGCGGCTCAACGCATTCACGGGTGAAAGTTTCTACGGGGCTGGCCGCATGCAGTATTTGCCGAAGTGCCGGGCGGCCAAGCGGTCCGATAATGCGAAGCAGGATCTCGAGCAAGCTGCAGAGCCCTTGAACATTGCGTGGAACAACGAGCGGCTGCACATAGGTGACAAGGTTGGCGAGGCATCAGGTGTAGAGCTCGGCGCACATCCGAACACATGGAGCTCACCAGCAATACTCGCAGCAGCGTGGAAACAGTTGGGCAGCAACCAAGTTGTGCGTTGTGGCGTGGATGGCATGGCACGGACACTGGGGGTCCTCGCATGCGTTTCAGCAGCAATCTTCGAGGAGCAGGAGGACTTCGTTGCCGAGCGGGTCGAGGCGATGAAGGCCCAGTGCGCGAGCCCTGTCATCTTCAAGTTCTACGATTGCACGCCGATGAGATTATCGTTTGGGCAGTTGCAGCCTCAGTTGTACCCTTGCGCCAGGTATCTGATTTGTAAAGACGGCGAGTGGAAGAGCATGAAGTTGAACGATTACTTGAAGGAGCGACCCCACCACGCAGGCGTGCTGAGATCTGGCGTCGTCGAGATGCTCGCGCAGGGTGCGATGTGCGTTTGCATCGGGCCGAGCTCCGACGAACACACTGGCTTTCGGGTGTTCTGCCGGCCACAGATTATCCAGAGCGGCAATGCAAACTGCGTGTATCGCGCCACTGAGGAGGAGATCCCGTCGTTCTCTGCGCAGGGCTTGGCGGACATGTGCCAGAAGTGCCCGTGGGTCATCTTGCGCGAGGCCCCCGACGCGCACAGTGCCGACATTCGCAAGAAGGCGAAGACCAGCGAGGTGATCCCGAACAATTGCTTGCGCGTGTCAGCCAACTGCGATGAGCATCAAGCCCATCGGATGCTCGAGATGAAGGAGAAGAACGCCATTGGCAATCTCCACGCGATCGCGGTTTCGCGCAGCCACCCAGCGTTCCAGAACAGACTCCAGGACGCCCTCCGCGCGGCCGTCGACACCATGGAGTACACGCGCGGGGAGCTCGATGATCACGTCATGCAGCGTAACCGCAGGCTGGCGAAACACGCCCTCTTGCGCCGCAAGACCCTGATCATCGGCGACATCAGCGACGGCGACGTCGATGCCGATCGGGAGTTCGAGAAGGCCGTCGACACCTTCTTGTTTTTCTGGAATGCGGATTGGCGGCCCTTCCGCGTGGGGCACGCGTGCCGAGGTTGCTGCTCGGGGCCGGAGAATGCAAAGCAGAACGTGTTCGCTGCAGCTATGTCTGTGGACCTGTTGCAGAGCCGCGACTGCGAGTTGCCGTCTCTGGACGATTGGGGCACTTGCGGCCGCGCGTGCGGCCTGGCCAGCATGGGGCTGCTGTGCCGCAACATCCTGTCCAATTGCTCCGGCATTGCGTTGCCTGACTGGCGGTCGATGCCACCGCCGCGGCAGGCTGGCGACAACGATGATGCGGATGATGACGAGACGATGGCGCGGCTCAAGGTTCGCAACAAGGCGTGGAGGGCAAAATGTACGTTCGAGGACCCCGAGAAGAGGACCAGGATCCTGCTCATGAATTGGGCGGGGGCCCCCGTGGAGAAAATGATGTCCAACTTTCAGTGCCTCGACCGGGCGGGAAAAGGGCTCTACGACGTTTCCGTAAGCAACGAGTTCAACCCCATATTGGTTTGCAAGCAGAGGCTGACCCAGCTTGTCCAGGAGGGCGTCGACGGGGACATGGGCCCCCTCTTCGAGTGCGCGCCGTCCGAGGGCCACAGCGAGTTGCTGGAGCAAGTCCGCTCGATGGGGGTGGACTCGGGGGCCCAGGCCACGCGGCGCCAAACGTCGTCTCTTGGGCGCCCCTTCGAGGGGGGGAGGTCGGCGGAGGAGGAGGAGGAGGAGAAGGCGGAGGTGGAGGTGGAGGAGGAGGAGGAGGAGGAGCAGGAGGAGGAGGAGGAGGAGGAGGAGGAGGAAAGGGAAGGGGGGGGAGGGGAGGAGGAGGAGGAGGAGGAGGGGGAGGAGGAGGACGAGGACGAGAGGGCGTAAAAAAAACGACGGTCGACGAGCTGAAATCCTTCACATCAGTAATTTTGGGGCTCGAAGCCCACAGGGCGGTTTTTCATGTTTTCCATTCGACGTTCCATGAAGCCCGATGTCATTCCGAGGCCGCGCGTCGAACGTTTTCGATGGCGCGTCGCGTTATGCGATGTCACGTGCGTTGGGGTCGTCAAAGGCTTGCGTACTTGTTGCGGATCGGTTGATGTGGGCTGGGGTTTCTCAGGGTTGTACATTTGCTCTGCGCTGTGGCGGTTTCGACCCCCATCCCTGGCTGATCCACCCCGCGGGTAACGTCGCAGGAAGAGTTCGATCCTGTCGTTCGTAGTGCCAGCGATGCTTTCGCGGACATTGGCCGCGCCACGGGGGGGGGGTCGTCCAGAAATTTCCTACCATATTGCATTGTTGGTTCTTCGTTTTGAAGAGACACCGCCCCGCGTCATTCCTTCCGGCCCCCTCATTCGTCTTCCCTCTTCGCGTATCTGCCCCTGCTGTCCGCGTGTCCCCGTCGTCATCGTCCATCGTCATCGTCGCCATCACCATCATCATCGCTCCGATCAGTTTTGGGAAGGCAGGGTAGGTGCTGATGGGGATTATCATCAGATGGGAGTGTGTACCTCGTCGCAGCCCTCTCGGCCCGAGGGGTGCGCAGGCGAGGGATAATCAGCATCATCAGCGTTCTCGTCGTCTCCCTCATCAATACCACCACCATCCTCATCAACATCATTAAAACACCCCCTTTGTTCCCCCGCGTCTCTGCTTCGCCACATCCCCCGCCAGTCTCGTGGCCTCGTGAGGTGCTCCACCGAAGGCCCCATCGGCAGGGTTCTTAGTGCGCCGCCCAGCCCATGTCGGCACGCCCCATCAGACGCTTCGTGTCCCCATGAGGAGCTCATCGGAGGTCCCGGCGGCAAGGTCCACATGCCGTCGCCCAGGCCACATTGATGACACCCTCAAACATTTCGTACCCCCATAGGCAGCTCCACCAAGAAAGGTCCCAGCGGCAGGTTTCCCAGGCCGCCGCCCAGCATATTTCGGCATACGTTTCACACGCTTCGTGGCCCCACGGGGAGCTACACCGACGGCCCCACAGGCAGGGCCCACAGGCCGCCGCCCAGCCCATTCCGTCATACGCTCACACGCTTCGTGGCCCCATTGGGGAGCACCCCCGATGGCCCAAGCGACAGGGTCCACATGCCGCCGTCGCCCAGCCCATGTCGTCCACGAGTGGCGCCCAGCACGGCTCCAAGAGCGCCCCAAGAGGCGCCGAGCAAGTTGCACCCTCATGCAAATAGTTTTTGT